CATCCAACAAGTACCTGTGATCCCAGCTACACAGAATGCTAATGGTCTGGGATAATGGTCTGAGGCCTGCCCTCCACAAAATCTGGAGGTACCATCTGGAAAACCAAGCAAAAAATGTAAGGCTAGGGCATGGCTCAAGTGGTAGAAAGTGCCCCCATAGCAAGTATGAGCCCTGAGTTCAAATCCCAATTTTGCCAAAAGAAGAAAAAGAAAAGAACAGAGGAGGAGGAGGGGGAGGAGGAGGAAGAGGAAGTAGAGGAGGAGGAGCAGCAGAAAGTTGTTCACCATGTCTTCAGGGACCTGGGTTCCATTTCTCCGCTCTCTGCTGGCAAGCTCTTTGGCTCAGGCTGACTTCCCTCAGGGAGATGAAATGGCAGCAGATCTGGGCTTAGCATCCATATTCCAAACAGTCCAGATGACCTGCAAAGGTGGAGAGTCTCTCTGTTGGCTCAGCATAAGTCGCAAGGCTGCTCAGGATCCAGTCATGGTGGCTAGGGGCGGAGACCATCTTCATCTAGATCACAGCTCTAAGTGGCATCAGAGGTTTGGAATTGAGAGTTGAATGCGGCCAACACAATACATACTTCACACAGGAAGCAAGGGCCTCACGGGGTATCTGGCACCTCAGCCGGATCCCGTGGTTCATCGGGGCACAGTGTCATTGGTCTCAGCTGAAAAAGCTCCTGTGTGAGAAGAATTATGACCAAGCAGATAGAAAAGGTACCCTGCTTTTCATCCGTCATATCTTGGCTTCTGGGATGCATTAGCTCTGTCCATCTTGTTTGATCATATGTGTCCTCTTGTCTGTCGAGAGGGGCAGTTGTGTAAGACGGGATAATTTAGGTCATGCGCCGTAACAAGCAGCCCCCATCTTATTGTGAGAGCAGGTGAGCGCAGGGACAGGTTCTACAGGCGGTGACTAGGATTCAGTTAGAGTCTCACCAGCCTCTAACTACACTCAGTGCGGCTGAAGCCCTCCTGATCAGAACAGCAGGGAAGACCCAGCAGGAGGCTAGAGCAGGGCAAGTCACTGCATGGGAGTGACCCTGAGCACTTTCACCCACACTTCATCTGCCAAAGCAAGCCCCCCGGCCACCCTAACCTCAAAGTCAACTCAGCGTGTGCAAGGAGTTGAAGAGAACCGGTATTGGGGGCCGTGGAATCCTCCAGCAGGAATGGAAAACCATGTCAGGTGGCGCGGGCTGCCTTCCTCGCTTGAACCAGCCTTCTATGATTCCGGCTGCCACACGCAGGAGCATGTTTCCAGAAGGGGAGGAGACTGGCAATGGTGAGATTAACCGCTCCCTGGGTTCCACTCGGGGATCAGTACTTTCAATAGTACTTTGTGAGTTCAGCCTCAAAGTAAATGGTTAATTCATCTTATATCAACAGCACTGTGATTCATAATGTAAACTTGGGAGAATTTTTGATGTTTCGGGCCTACATTCCTTTTAATTTGGCTCTGCATTCTTTTAAAGCCACAGTGTGCTCACTTAATAGAATGCAGCATGCAAATGCACAAGTTTCTGCCTGGAGGCAATTTAGCCTGGCTGTTTCAATGGACGTCTTCTTTCAAGTGTATACTCTTTCTTAAATTATTTACTGGGTAAACACACTTTGCATTTTCAAAAGGGAGATTAAGACTGCTTGCTGCAGACCTAGCTGAACATCTAGGCCCCTTCCTGGCCTAGAGTTAGGAGCAACTTAACTTTGGGCTACCCCAAAAGTTCCTTCTCTGGCTTGCTAGCTAGCTAGAGCCTCTCGGCCTGGCTTGCTTTTCCGATTCTCTTTCCTGAGATCCTTTCTGCTTTGCCCAGAGCAACACAGGCCAGCAGCGGCTTGGTTGACTGTATTCCAGGCCTCTTCACAGATGGGGGCCGGCCACTGCCAGCCTGCTTTCCCCTCCCAGCTGGCTCAGTCCTGTCCATTCAAGTGCCCTGGTGACTCTCTTTTCTATTCCTTAGAGAGCCTGTGTTTGCCCATCTCCTCTGAGGTCCTAAATTGGGTTGATGTCCTCACCAGCCAAACTTACTCAACAACCACAGGGTTGTAACTGCAGACTTAGCAACCTCTGTTCCAATTCTTTCTGCCCTTCTGTTCCCTTAGTTCCCAATACTGGGTAGCCCTTGGAAGCAAATTCCCTTTTCCTGCCAACCTCCTCCGGCAGCACACACTTCCAGTCCTGGGGGACGGGGCCTGCTCTCAGCCCCTGGGAGGAGACACTAGGGGTCGGGGGGGCTCTGGAAGGCCCTGCGGAGCACGTCTGCATCTGTGTCTGTGAGGGATGTGCTCAGCTTTCAGCTCCAGCCTTTTCCATGCAGACCTCTTGACGTGTTTCTGCACATGAATCTGCCCAGATTTCTTCTCCATTCTCTCTTGAATGGAGTCATGACAAGTTACCAGGGGCCGGGCTGGGTGGCCCTCCTTCTTTGGACTTTCTCTTTGGACTCCCTGAGCACCCCTGGTGGTGTCAGGCCTTCAGAGGCGGCTTCCACGTGGGCCTCACAGGTAGTTCCACTGAAGCCGCAGAGGAAAGCCAGTGGGCTCTGGGTGTACTGAGAGTGGGGAGCCCAGCTAGGAAAGCCAGGAAGAGCTGAGGATATAGGGGTGCCTGAACACTTTTCCAACCAGGCCTCAGTACCATCCATGGTTTATCCTACATGAACATCATGCATGCCTTGGGGTCCTCAGCTCACACATGCAATAGTCGCCACCCAGGCTGTACAAGAGACATCCTAGACATCCTACCACGGATCACGTAAGACCGAACTTTAAAAATGTTTCCAGGCTTTGTTGTTGTTGTTGTTTTGGGGTGGGTTTTTGTTTGTTTGGTTGGTTGGTTTTTTTGTCAACTGTGGGGCTTGAACTCTGGGCCTGGGTGCTGTCCCTCAGCTCTTCAGCTCAAGGCGAGAGCTCTACCGCTTGAGCCACAGTGCTACTTCTGATCTTCTAGTGGTTTGTTGGAGATAAGAGTCTCACAGATTTTCCTTCCCAGGCTAGCTTTGAATCACAATCCCCAGATCTCAGCCTCCTGAGTAGCTAGGATTACAGGCATGAGCCACCCGCGCCCAGCTGTTTCCAGGCTTTTAATGTGTTTTACAACCATGTTTCCATTATGCCAATAGCCTTTGCAAGTCTAGTATAGGTAACTATGGTAAACAGAGTTGTTGTTGTTTTTTTGACTGTGGCATGGCTTGGCTTGGGGATGGAAGGGGGGAGGGAGACAAAGGGGAAAAAAATCAATTCGAGTTTTAAATGGACCCACCAAGTAGCACCAACCAGCGCCCACCATTACCCTTACTTTAATAAGTCTTGAAAGTCCTGTTTTTTTATTCACTTTACTTTTTTTGTTGGGGGGGGTCTGCCTCCTGACTAATCATGGCCTGTTAAGTCTGAATTAGTTGTCATGGCAGAAGAATTAATGACAGGCACGGACTTTTTAGTGGGAAAGGGAAGAAATAAACGAGACAGATCTTAGCCAAGCCCTGAGTGATAAATGAGACCAAGTAGACCATTCATCTCCTGCAAGGATAGTGGACACGGGTACTCAGGCAGTTTTGCGGAAGATGTGTCAGCAAATGCGATCATTTTGTAACCTGTCAGGAGGAGAGGGAGTTGGTCCTGTTAGGGGCCACCGAGGAGTGCGCTGCTCTGATGTGACAGCTTCCATCCATCCGTGTAGGGGTAGAAGGGAGGGCGGATGAGGAGGTCTACAGCCAAACTACTGCCTGATGTCATCCTCCTTCCAAGAAACAGATACCCAGATGCTTTAGCAACCACTCCAAATACCTGTGCAGGTCTCTTTGTGAGATACAAAGCAGTAGCAGGTCCCCGCTCCGTTGGAGGCTAGCTTCGTCCCCCCGGCTCCTCCCTGCGGAAGACCCCACGCCCCACGTCCAGAGCCGTGCAGAGACCTCTTCCCACCTGCATCTGCAGAATGGTGGGATGCAGAGTGGGGGGTGTTTAAGCCAGGGGGCAGCCGGCGAGACGGCCAGCCAGCCAGCCACTTCTAGGTTCTATTTCTGTGTGCTCTGAAAGCGAGCAAGCGAGTGAGCGGGCAAGCGAGCGTGGGCGAGGCTGGTGACCTAGGCTTCCTTTGAAAGTCTCAACAAAGCATTCTGATGTGCGACCTCCTTTCTCCGAATGAGGTAACAAATTATGAAACAGCTTCATCGGAAGCTCTCTGCAGGCATCTGGAGCGCATTTCTCCTCTGTTCTCCTCTGAGGTCGCCTTCAGCAGGGCCACACCGAGGCGCTGAGCATGCCTGAAGCTGTGGGCCCACCTCCCAACCCACGCCAGGCCCCCTGAGGACTTGGTTTCTCATTTCCATCTTGCCCCAATATGCAGCTCCTGGCCCGATGGAGGGATGGCGCTTGAGCCCTAGTGACAGGTGACAGCTTTGCAGCTGAGGCTGGAAGCTTGACACTTGCTTCTTAATCCTGCCCTCCTCTTGCTAAGTCTCTCTTTTACTTTTCCCCAGGTATTTTTATATAGGTAAGTTCCTTACTGACATATGTTTCCTTGGAGTCTCACTTTCACAGGAAACACTGGCAAAAAAAAAAAAGAGAGAAAAATCAGGCTTGTCTCACATTTTAAATTAAAAAGAGAAGCTCACATGAGGCCCTTGATCACTTAAAGGGACTACATGGTACTCGGAGCCAGGAAAGCCATTGATTCATCTGAGTACAGCATGACAAGCACTATAGAGCTGTTCCTACAGCCAGAAGCTGCCTGATTCTGTGTGTGTGTGTGTGTGTGTGTGTGTGTGTGTGTGTGTGTGTGTGCATGCGCACTTCTCTATCTGTATGTCTGTCTCTTGCTCTGTCTCTCTGTCTCTCTCCGTCACACACACACACATACACACACACACACACACACACTGGGGCTTCCCCCCCACCTGGCTGGCTGTGGTTTCATTCGTCAACTTGGCCTTGGATGATCTTTGTCAGAATGACCTCCGTTTATCTATGTGCATGTGTCTCTCTTCTCTCTCTCCCAGAATCATCCAGAACCGCATCCTGCTTGTCATCCTTGGGATCATCGTGGTCATCACCATCCTGACGGCCATCACTTTTTTTGTCAGAAGACACTGATGTATCTGCTCTCCCTTGATAAACAGCAACCGCTGCTTGTTCTGAGTAATTAAGACAAAATGGTCACATGAATCATTCTTCGGCACTGACAGGCCCTGGGTGACCCCTCTCTCCTTCCCCCACTGTTCAGCTAAAGTGCAAAGAGTGTAAAAATATTTTCTATTCCTGTTTGCATGTGGGTTGGTTTCCTTCGTTGTTGTTGGTTTTTTTTTTTTAATAGGTGAAGGTAAATGTTTGCCTTTTGGTAATTTCATTTACTGTCCAAAATAGCATTGGTGACATTCTTTCTTACCCTGCGGCCATGTCAGGGGTCAGGGTTTGGGAGAGGGTTTGATGAGTCACTCACATCTGTTGTCACATACTTCTCATCACCAAAATGTCCTTCTGTGATGTCCAAGGGTGGAAATGCATAGACAACCAGGGACCAGAGCCAGTAGCACGCACAGGCCAGCCCTGGCCCTTCTCAGCACAGTGAATATAGTCAACCTGCCCATGTGCTTTTGTTGCTAAGGAGAGTATTTAATGTCACTTGTACAGGAAATTGACTTAGCACTTTCCATGTTTTTCTATTGCGTAATTGTTTTTAACCCAAGAATATTTTTGCTGAACCTGCACCGATGCCCACTTTTTCACAATTTTGGTTACCGGCTCCAAGAAACATTTTCTTGCTTTCCCCAATCCCCATACTCCTCAGAATTTTACTGGTAATGGGAGCCCTGGCTCAGTATTTTAAATGTGACCTCATCATCCCTGACCTATGTAAGCATCTCTGTATCCTTTCACTTGGAATATTTGCTCTGCCAAAAGCAGCCCTCATACATGGAGAAGGTCTGACGAGGTCCTCTCCACATCCATCCCAGTATGTAAAGAGAACATGAATATTTCAGTAAGAGCAAGAACATGACTCCATCAATGAGAAATTTCCACTGTCCTCATGAATAGGGGAGAGTCCAATAGGATGGTCCACTAGAAATCAACTTTCTGGGGGGAAAAAATGTCCACCAACTTCTCAAAGAATAGGGCATCCAGCAGAGGGTTACACAGGAGTGGGTTTATTTTGTTTCCACCCCCACCCCCACCCCCCGCAAACAAATGGATTCCTGAATTCACTGTGTATTCAACCTCTAATGTGCTTCGTGATTTTTCTTTCATTCTTTCTGAGATTACTGGGAATCACGTTCAAAATGAGTTCATTGTGATCCAGTTTAGAAGCTGCCCAAGCTGAGGTCATTTTCCTCCGAGTCTTAAAGTAAAATATGTTTTTCTTAAGACTTCATGTGCACTTATGGGTTCTGTACTGTCTTTTGAATATGATTGGAAGGTTTGAATTCTTGAAAAGCAAACCTGTTCCCTTCATAAAACAAATGCTAACCACCAATGCAGCACTTCATTTTTTCCCTCCTTCCCAGAAGAGGTATGAGAGGGAATGTAAAATGCACAATCCACTGGAGAAATCAGACCTATAGAAACAGGCCAGAGCTTACTTGTGTTCAGCTAAATCATTTAGTATTGTGTAAATAAAACCACAGCCTTTATGTCAGAAGGATGGTATGGGATTTTGGTGGAGCGAAGCAGAGCAGCTGTGCTAATTTTCCTGTCAGCGCAAGGAACCCAGGGCTGCAAGAACCTTTTATTCTGACAATGGAATTCTGGATGTGCTAAACACAGACACCATCAAAAACAAAACCAAAAACAAGCAAGCAAACAATCCCCTTCTCCATCTGGGACACAAATAGTCCCAAAGTATGCCAACCCCTCTGGAGGCTTCCTGCACAATTGTTGACCCTAGCTTAGGGCCTCATGCCTCCCATCTACCTCTCAGCAGTCTTCCCAAGGACGATCTAATTACCAATGCTTCCTGGCTCCTCAATATTCTGCTAAGATCTGTGTCCATGCTGAAGCCATGGAATGAGAAAGAAGGGATGTTCATTGCTCACCTCTCCAGTGGCTTGTTCTGCCAACTTTATGTTTTCACCAATTCGTCATACCTACAATTTTGCCCCAGCTCAACCCCTGCTTGGGAGTAAGAATTGGAACATCAACATCCCCGGAGAGCGACCAACTAGACCAGACCAGGACGCTGGTCTGAGGGTCCCTCCTGGATGCCACGGGCAGGACTCAAGCAACCCCTGGAGAAAGCCAAATGGCTCATCCTTCTACTCTCCTCATCCTTCTACTTTCCTACTGGGGAAGGAAGAGAATCTACAAACTTGAAGCAGGTCATAGATCTGTGAAAGGTTCTAGGTACTTAATATGTAGACTTCCATTACTGTTGGATAAGCCTAAAATTGGGAGGTTTTGTTTGAAGAACAAGAAGGAGGAGGAGGAGGAGGAGAGGAAGAAGAAGAAGAAGAGGAGGAGGAGGAGGAGGGAGGGAGAAGGGGAAGGGGGAGGGGAAAGAGGAGGAAGAAGAGGAGGAGGAGAAAGAGAAGGAAGAAGTTGTTTGCTGGAAGGGTGGGGGAGGGAAGGGGGTGAAGATGAAGACATGGAAGAGGAAGAAGAGAAGGAACCCCTCCACATATAAAATTCATGCAGACTAAACAGTTTCCCTAACAGAATAAATAAAGCGGATGGTACCCTGCTCCAGAATCAAAAGCAATTCAATTAAAGTCTCTGAAGTTGTAAAGAGTTTTAAATGCTCCACGTTGAAGGGGAATGACTGCAAATGCAGTGGGCTTGACGTCAGCGGCCGGGCCTGAGCCGGGAGGCCATTTGCTATTCTGTTTCAGGCAGGCTGGATTGTCTTATTTTGGAACCAGCTTGGTGGGGGGTTTGCTTTGCTACTGCTTCTGAGCCCTGAGCTTCAAAGGCTGAAATTAATAGTGAACAAAATTGTGCAGCTCTGGCCGTCCCATGCGGGGCAGGCCCATTGAGAGTTATCATTAAGTAAAGAAATAAAGAGGGGAAAAAAGCCTGCCTGTTCCAAAAACCTCATCAGATAATGACCTCAGTGATTGGGTTTTCATTACCAAACAGCATCCAGAGATTATCAACCCATCGAAGAGGGGAGGGAGAGAAAGAAAGAAAGGGAGGGGGGGAGAAAAAGCCACTGTCTCTCTCTTCCTCTCTTTCTCCTCTTTTTTTTTTTTGCACATCTTTTCTTTAAAACTGTCAGATCATTTCAGTATTTCAAATCCGAGGAAAACAGCCTGCCTGCTGCTGTATTTGAAGTTGTAATGGTGTCAAAAAGTCACGACTGACTGACAGCCGTCAGTCCCAGAGGGGCTCATTAAATCATAAAAACTTGACAAGGAAATAATTGCGCATCGCCAGCAACTTGGCGCCTGTTTAGACGTTTTTATTTTCTTTCATTATTAGTCCCCACCATTACGTTCATTAACAAATTGCATTAAACAACTGTTAAGAGCTAATGATTTGTTTATCGCTTTTTTTATTATTATTATTTAAACATTAGCTGTGTCATGTGGTACCTCAGCAGACTCTTGCCGTCGTCTGACTGAATATTTTTCCACTCCGAGCTCTGGGTACTGTTGGAATATGAAATAGATTATTCATTACTCTCCTTTTTGCCACTGATTTGGTTTCATGTAGTGTCTTGCACAGAGAAAGATGAAAACTTGTCAAAAATAGGTTATATCTTATTCGAAGGGGCAACAATAGCAGCAGGTACAGGCACACTTTAATATTTAATTAAGGTTGATGTTAACCCCTTTAAATGACTTTAGCTGTAAGTTATATTTAAATGCAGAGGAGAAAAATAATTGTTCTTAATTTGCAACCTGTTCAGCAGGCATTCTTTGTGGAGTTAGCTGGAATTTTAGAGCTGAATGTTGTGTGTGTGTGTGTGTGTTTAATTATGAAATTTCCCACCATAAATATTTATCACCGTTTGTCTACGTAGCTGAGAATTAAGTACAAATGATGATTTCCTTGTCGCTTTGGTTTGAACTCCTGGCCTCGTGGGGCACTCTGCCTGGGGAGTGGAGGTGGCTTTCCCAGGAGGAATGTGTGCAGGAAGGGATGGCTCCAAAGACAGCTGGCTCGTTGTGGCTAGTGCTGGTTTCAAAGGAGCTGCTGTGAGTCCCCAGGCTGCCGGCCACTTGCCTTCCCCTTCAGCTGAGTGTGTGGTTGGAAGACTGTGGTCTGTCTACAGAGAGAGTCATAAAGGGAAACCTGTGTGTCCGGAGGACTGGTTAGGGGAGGGTGTCCTGGGGTATCTTGGGTGCCCCTGGGCAGCTCATTACCAACACAGCTTCCCTAATGGGCAACAGGAAGCGCTGTGTGGGGATTGACCTTCCACCCCTTTTGCCTTTCCGGGACTTGCCATTGGAGAATTGATCCGCTTTTCCATGGGCTGCGACTTGAAGGGCCAGCGAGGACAAAGCCTCATGACCAGCCTAAATGGGAAGTCAGGGGCACACTTCAGCCGTATCTGCTGTGTTCACCTGCTCACTGGTTTGCTGGATTCGTTTACGTATCCCAGGAAGCTTCCCTCAGAGGTCTGGTCTGTGGCACTTCAGGGCTAGAATGTTACGGGTACAGCCAGGCCCAGGGAGAACACTGCAGCCATCCCACCCTCCCATCCCCAAAGGTACCAAACCCATCAGGTAGCTCCACCATGGGTGTAGGGGAAGGAGACAGATGGGTTCCTTGCTCAGAGGAGCAGACCCTAGGGCCACTCTCCCAGGACAGGTGGTCCTGCAGAGGCCAATGGTCCAGCCCTGCAGGTATGAGCCAGGCAAAGGCTGGTTTCAGGCCTCATTGGTCACTATAGACATGGATTTGTGGACAGGACATGGTCTGAAGGGCTTCAAGGCTCCATTTCCATCCAGCCCAGATTATTCACGTGACAGTTCACCTCCCTTGGATGATAGCCTCCGCTCAGCAGAAGAAAGGAAGGCTTTGTGGTGAGCTGTCCCCACTGACCCCCAGTGACTCTGGCTGAGGCTGCTACTTGAGACTAGAAACCAACCCTTACCTTTGACCTTACCCTGTGTTGGAACTCACTCACTTAAACCTGAGCCCAAGAAATAGTCTTGCTTGTGAGTGTATTGAGTTCAGACTCATGGTATCTATCTGTCCAGCAGAGGCTGTCCATATAATGTGATCAGTCATCTGACTAAAAGACCAGATGCCATTCTTTTTAAGTGGAACAGGTGACTGAACAGCTCAGAAAAGATATTGAAGCAACCAAGTCCAGGCAGTACAGGAGTGTGAGGAGCCAGAGCATCCTGGAGTAGGTGATGGAGTGAGGGACAACATTCACCTCGAGTGAAGGTTGAGACACAGTGCTGAAAGGCTACCATCTTCTTGGAATTTCAGGTCAAAGCCAGCTTACTAGTCACAAGTGGGTGAAACCAAGGTGGCCAGACAGGTGGGGTGGGAATGTAGGGGGAGGGAGGACCACATGATTAGTGTACTGGACTCATCCCAAGGGACAAGCAAAGAGGGGCAGGGGGCAGACAAGGAAGCCTTCCTCTCTAGCACTCTGAGCCCATCACTGCCCTTCATCAAGAGGAGCTCACAAAGGGGATGACAGGGCCCCATGCCCAAGTTGTGCACCACTGTCTGCAGCTTCAGACTGCTGTGGGGAAAGCACTTCCTCTTTTGAATCTCCTCGTTACTTGTGCTACATAAATACCCAAGGCATCCCAGTGAGGGGGGAATGGCAGGAAGCAGAGCTCGGACTGTGAGAGGACTGTGATGCTGTGAACTCATGCGCCCTCCTTCCCTTCATCCACACAAGGCCCTTTGGCGTGAATAATAGCTCCACAGCCCGTATTGATCGGCTGCCCGTGCAGCCCCGCAGAGAGCCTGGGCTTTTCCTGGGGGCAGGATGGAAGAAGCTGAGCAGTGCAGCCACCTCCCCACTCTCCAGGCCTTCCCAGGTATATTCAGGAGGGGACAGTGCCTGGGAGGAGGGGAGGGGATTCTCCAGCTCAGCTTCGTTGCTGTAACTTTTTTTTATTTTTAACTTATTTTGCCAAGAAAAGTATACAAGTTAAGAGAGAAATGAGGGGAAAGGGGCCTGGTTTTGTTTTGTTTTTTTCTGGTCAGGCCCCACAGATTTGAAAATGAACATATATAGCCTTTCCAGGCTCCAGCTTTTCTCTAGACGGTTCTGCCATTGTATACCCAGCATTTGACTAAATAACATACCATACTGCATTTTTCTGTTAATTTTCACTCTCTTGTACCATCAGAAAGTAAAGGTGAGAAGGTGGCTAGAAACCCTCACTATAGGGACAGGGCTTGTTACTAAATTCAGTGGACAAGTGCCCTCCACAGATGGGTAACTGCTGGAATGAAGCTTGCCAGCCTTATGATGACAAAACTGTGGCTGGTTTGTCCCCTGTCCTGATCTGCATCTCTGCTCGACCTAGGAAAAGTTGTCAAGGTCTTGGCCCCATGCA